GCCTGGATCCTTGCCACAGTGCAGAACAAGCTCCAGCACCCACAGAACAATGGTCTGACAGTCAAGGCCCCTGTGATCATCACTGGGTGTCAGGAAGAGTTTCTCGAGCCCTTCTCACACAGACATTCTCCTCTGAATGGCAACTGCCCCCCAGGCGACAGAGCATTCACCTGGGAGACAAGTGTCCACAGCAGACATCATTCCCAGAGAGGAATACTCTCCTGGGCTCTGGAATGAGGTGATTCATCTTGCACTCGAGTTCTCTGCTTTGGGTGCCAGAAAACTGGGTCAAAAATTCCTAGGCTTAGGCAGGCAAATGATGAGAGGTTTGGGCTCTGCAAGATGCTCCAGCTTCCTTCTGGAAAAACTTTCAGAAGCCTGACATCTGCTCCATGGCAAAACAGAACATTTTTCTACACTCAGAAGAATCTGTAGGATGAGGAAAGTATTTTCTGCCCAGTCATGAAACACACCAGTGTTTTTCCATTAGCTGAGAAAGCTCCCAAAAGAAATGGGCTCCCTCTCAGCCTCCCCTTTGGCAGAGTCCTCCAGGTGTCAGGTGGAACCCAAGGACAGCACTGGGAACCAGGCAGGTAGTCCCTGTGTTTCAGAGGAGTGGGAATGAAGACCTGGCATATGGCAGGCGAGGCTCTACATCTGAGGTGGAGTCTGGTGTTTCCTGCTGAAAGCGTCTGTGGACAGAAGGAAATGTGCAAATGAAATGATGCGACATAGACAGAGTGTCTGATATCTCTTTAACATGCCAGAGATGTGGCACCAGGGCACATCCCTCCAGATTCCTGATTGCCAAGCGTTTTCCTTCCCTTCTCCTCCTATGAGCACCGTACCATGGGGCACAGATCCACAAGTCCCATATCTCACAACTTCTACAGATGAGGTCTTGGATGTTACTCTATTTCCTCCCCATGTCCAAGAGGACATTTTTAGAGAACATTTCCAAGTCCCACGTGACAGCAAAGCATGCTCTGATGGTCCCACTCACAGTGCAGTGTCACCACATGGTAATTTTCCACCACGTCTTTCTGCTGTTTCCTCACAAGCCATCTCACACATGGATGTAGTTTACAAGTGACTTGGGAAGGTCTGTAGCTTACAAGAATCTCTGTGGCTGCCACTGAGAAAAGGGGAGGAGGGAGGTTATGGAACCAGTGCATGCTGCACTGAAGGAGTGAGGCCAGCAGAAGGTCCTGGTTTCTCATGGACACTGTGTCCTGTTGTTGTCCCTGCTCCTGGATGTCAGAGCTGGTGTTGTCCAGTTCCTCAGCCAGGGGCTGGAGTGGTTTTCATGCCCATTCTGGACCTCAGCCCTCAGGAGTGCAGCACCTGCACTGACTGGGATCTCTTCTCTTGAACTGCATGGAAGATGTGTGAGGCTGAGACTTCCTCAGTGAGATTTGGGATGACCCAGATCTTTGAGGCTGTCTCCAGGGTTAATGATCTGGTCCGCCTTTGAGTGATTAGGAGACCTCCCCTTTGTGACCCTAGGCTTTGAAAGGCCCTTGAAGGTAAGGGTTAACCAGCCACGTGGACAGGAGTATTCCCTGTACATCATGTGAAGCCCTCTCCTCCACAGACACTGTCACAAGAGTCACTCCCCATGAGAGGCTGCTTCATCACCCACTGCAAGCCAGCACGGAGAGCAAGATGTGAAGAATCATGGAATTACAGAATCATTGAGGTTGGAAAAGCCCTCTGAGATTATCAAGTCCAGCCCTTAACCCAGCACTGCCGAGGCTACCACTAAACCACGCCACCAAGTGCCACATCCACACATTTTTTGAACACCACCAGGGATGGTGGCTCCACCACTGTCCTGGGAAGTTGTCCCAATGCCTGACCACATTCTTAGTGAAGAAATTTTCCCTAATATCCAGCCTAAAACTCCCCTGACACAACTTGAGGCTGTTTCCTTTTGTGCTGTCACTTGTTACCTGGGAGAACCCTGAGCCCCACCCGTCTGCACCCTTCTGTCAGGACAGGGTGACCAGTGCTGCAGAGTGACCAATTCAGGCTCTGGGACACAGCCACAGCTGAGTATCTCCCCTCTCTCCACCTGCAGTATAGCTCCCTGCAGCTCTGGCTTCAACACTTGCAAAATTAAGAGGCAGCTCAACAGGATATGCAGGGGACCTGCAAATTGGTATCACTTCCAGTTTAATTCCTTCCATGTCACTTGTGACACAGGCACATAAATACAAAGGAAGATATCCTTCTGAGAAATACACATAGAGCCCTGCTATTTCCTTGTTTTGTCAAGGAAAGGAAGCAGCTCTCAGGACATGGGAATATTGCTGACTTGTGTTACAGCTTTGTCACACAGAGAGCTGCTGGCCTTGCCCTCAGTAGCTCAAAATGGAAGTAACATTTTAAACATTGACCTTATACTAATCAGCATGAGGCATAAACAAGAGTTCACATCATCTACTATCTCTCTGGGTGAGTTTTGAAATAAATTCAGCAGAGAATAAATTAAAAATTCAGAAATCATTATATGACAGATCTGGATGTGTTTCTTTACTAATGGATGAACACAGATACAATATAAACCACAATTGAAATGCATCATTCTCAAAAGGAGACAAAATGGATCTCAGCTTTAGTACAGCTTCTGTTCTTTGTTCTAGCAACTTCAGTGGAATGAAAAATTTGAAGTTTTGATTGTAACTATTTTTTTAAAAGGACACTGCAGGCAAAACAGTGGTTCTGTGTCTGACTTGGCAGAGTAGGTTACTAAATAACACATATTGAGCACATGCTGCTACACTGTAGAGAACGTCAAAGCAGCAAGAAAGAAGGAGATTGTGGTTTTTGGAGAGGTTCTCTAGTAGATGGGCTTTTGGCATTCCCAAGGAACAACAAAGCAGAGTGGCACTGACGAAATAAAATACATTAGTTGAATGTTCTTGCTAAAGCTACAAGAAGGATATTTTAGCAGGCCCTTCTCAGTTTTAAGATGAGATTAAGGGTTCTGTTCTTTCACCATTAGCTCCAGGGAGAAACATCACCTGTATTTTCCATAATTTCTTCGTGAACCATAAGCATAAAACCTAATTTTAAATTCAACTTTGTTTTTTGGACTGTAACTCTGTACCAAGGGCTGAAATCTCTTCCTGGGGAAGAAATGCTCCTGCTGCAGAATCTGCTCCTTCTTCTCCCTACTGGATGAGTTATCTCTACAACCCCTAACACCATCCCCAGCCCACTCCAGCTCAAAGGCCTCAGAGCCCCATTCTGGGGAGCGCTGGTCCCAGCTCAGCCCCTGCTGATCTTGGCTTGAATCCCAAAAGTGAAGCAGGAAGGCTTCAGTTCCTTATCTGCTCCCTTTCCAAAAACATGTGTGAAAGCAGAGAAACCAGTCATTTTTTTCTTGATTGTACTTCCACTGCCTACAATAAATTATGGGTTTTTTCTTTCTTCTTAATCAAAGTTCATAGGAACTAAAACAACATTTCAAAACAGAAACAGCATAATGGCACTTTGGCAGCTTTCAAAAATTGACACTTAGATCTATTACTTAATGAAAGTTTAACACTGACTACCCCAGCATTTTATTTCAAAACCCTCCAGAGTCTCTGCTATCCTGAGCACCAGAACATGAACTACGTTAACATATTTATAATTAAATGATACCACAGGACAATTAACTTCACTCCAGTAATGATCAATAAGGAGATGCACCAATGAGACAAGATAGCTCCCTTGGGTGTACTTTAAGCCATCTTATTTTACATGTTGGACCTTATTTGGATATTTGCCTCACACTGAGGCTGGACTGCACTCTACAAATGCCTGGTTTTTCCTCACAAGTCAGAGAAATTAGTCCAGAAAGACTTTTCCAGGCATCTGCACTTAAACAAATGAATCTCAATCCAATCACAGAAAACAAACACCGTATCTGACTCAAACAGTTGAGATGCAGTTTAGACCTCTGAAGTCTTGCTACACTGCTTTGGAATCTTACAGGTCTTGGCACACATTGTATTAGCAGCAACTTCAAATTCACTGGCAGATCACTGATGCAAACATTGACTAGTGTCAGGCCTGCCACCAATCCCTGCAGCAAGTCCTGAGAAATACCAGCTTTCCCACTGACAATCACCTTACAAGTATTTTTTCACCTTTAATTCATATAATATCTGCTCTTCTCTTCTGGGAGCTAATATTTGACTTTAGCTGCACAGTTACATAGCAAAACTTCTCTGTGCTGCATTTATTAAGTAACCTCTCTGTCAAACTTGTACTTTCCACAAAGAATGAAATCAGGGATGTTTGACAAAACCTGTTTTCCACAGTTTGCCACAGACTGTGGCCATTAGTCTCAGACTCCCCTTGAGCTCCTAAAACCTGGATTTCTCTTTGCTCTCAGAGTCTCCTTCAGCCAACAATTCTGTGAGTTCCTGTCCTCACATCCTGGTATCCAGGATCCCATCACATGGCACCACATCATCTGCAGTCCCTTGTTTTTTTCCTATAATCTCTCTGCCCCTTTTCTATTTTCCTATTTGCCCAATATCTTTGTGGGACATGCTGTACAACATGCTCAGCTGGAGATTAAAAGAAGCAAAGTGTTCCCTAAGCAAATCCAAACTTTCTTTCCCTTATCTTATATATAATGAGGAAAAAAAAAAAGAATGCATAAATACTTTTTACCTTTCCTTGATGTTCCAAGCTCTTTGCATTCTTTTCCTTTATTTGCACTGGTTGTTCCGAATGGACAAGCCTGGGGTATACAGCAAAGCCTGTTTTTCCCTTTGCAGTACTCCTCGATTTGGGGGCACAGCAATGGGATCACAGAGGTTTGGTTATCCTGACTTGTGCAGTCATCTGGTACTTAGTCCTGGATCAAGAGCTTTAAATAGTTCCTCACTCGGCTCTGGCAGGAAATGCAGCCCACCACCTGCAGACATGTCGGGGCTAATTGCAAAATACACCCTAGGCTCAAACTTGGTGTAAGTAAAGAAGTAGGGAGGGTTGCTCACCATAGATTTTCTGAATTCCCTGGAGGTCATCCTGGGGCAGTTTGAAGTTGTGTGTTTCCATGTACTGGTAGAAAGGAGCCATGATAGCACTGGGATCATTGGAGTGTTCCAGACCCAGTGCGTGCCCCAGCTCATGGACTGCGACCAGGAAGAGATCGTTCCCTGTGGGAGGAACACACAGCCAGGTCAGCACACAGCCACGGCCTCAGGCCATCCCAAGCCCCTCTCACCCATAAAGCCAGAAGCAAATGTTTTGCTCTCCTACTGCACAGCAGGCCACAGTGCCAGAGTCGGCTCCTGGAGATGGTTTTAGTCCCAAAAGTCTGCACAGCCTTTAGCCATTGTCACAAAATGGGCCAGAGGCTGCCAGCCCCAGAGCAGGTAAAACAGGCAGTGCCTGGAGTGAAAGGATACTTACTATAGACTCTTTTGTAGAGAATTTACAGAAAATGACCAACAAAATGGTCACTGTGATACCACTGGCTCCTTATCTAAATGCTGTCAGGAGAGGTGAGAGCACAGCCTGTCTGCTAATCATTGGTGGGGCGAGTGCTTTGTGCTCCCTCGGGGTCCTCTGGTGCCATGCTCTGATCTGCCCTGGACCAACAAATCACAGAGGAGGTCTGCAGGCACCTGGCAAGGCAGGAGGATGGACAGAGAAGACCAGGATAATACCCACTGTCCCAGGTGGGCAGCCCCATCTCCTCCAGCATGGGCTCCTCAATGTGCTTTACTCTTCTGAACCCCTGGCACTGCCATGTGTGCAGGAGCTGAGCACAGGTAGCTCCATCCTGCCCCACTCCCTCACAGGGAAAGAGTTGGGTTGGATCCCAGTGGTGGAAGACAGAAGGAAGAAAGAGAAAAGAAGGGTCAGGACCTGACAGAAAGAAGAAAGGATGAGGAGCCCTGTCTGGTGCAGAAGCTAGGAGCAGTGCAAAGTGGGGGTACCTTCAACTCTACAAGCACACATTCCTCTTCAGTCCCATGGGCCTGGGACCCTCATCTCTTTGATCTAGTGTGGTCCCTGGATATCCTACCCCATAAGGGCACTGGAAAGTGACCCAGGCAATGCTGTGTAGGGATGAAGACACAGCCAGCAAGAACTGATGTAAGGGTCTCCTCGCGGCAGTAAAATGTCTGAGCCCTCAATTCTGCCTGAATTCGGTCTCCTCTGATTTTGGCTGTTTTTTGGCAAGGCAGAAACCAAGAGCACTTGCAATCAGACGCTGGCAATCAGTTGTCAATGGCAGCTCAGTGGCTGCTCTGCAGCCTCTCCAAAGGGCTTCCTCACACCTCCAACTGCACCTGCCTTGGAGGTACCAAAGCTCAGTTCTGTGGTGAGCTCTACCTGAGAGGGTAGTTACAACAGTGACTCACACAGAACTATCTTCACTTTTTAAATAGTTACTGATTCACTGTTACCCACAAAAACATGACAAAGGAGTTTCAGGGGTCTGTGAGCCTCCACAGCAGGGAGTTTTGCCAGCATCTGAGGATATCTGAAGTCAGTACCAGTGCGGCCCCAACCACACATACCACCCCAAAATGGTTAAATGCTCTAAATATTTGAGTTAGAAGGTGAAAGAATCTGAATATGCAAGACATGTTAAGATATACAAATGCATTTCAAATAAATTTTCAAATACAATTGTCCAAAAACATATACAGCCTAAAATTTAGTCACATATTTATGTAAAATTTTAGAATTTTTGTGTTTCAGAAATTCAAATGAAGACCTACTTACTAATTTTTTCTTATCTGTTGCTGAAAAATCTCGTGTGTGCACAAGTCAATACAATGTCCAACAGCATAATATAAAATCCATGAAGTAGTTTTATGGTAAATTTAGGAGGACTAACCACTCTTCACAGGTTTTCAAAAACACTCAAGCTTAGAAGATACACCAGATTCCAAATGGGATTCAGAGATTCAATGTCCTTTTGCAAAATTGAATGGACTTAGTCTTCTGTATCACCTAAACGTTCACGAAAGCATCATTTTCACTGCTACCACAACTACTCATACATAGTAGTTGTGAAGTCCATAGAAGTCCACAGTAAAGGTCGTTCAGCACAGAGCTGACCTCATGAGACTCTGCTCATCACCCACCACAGGCTCACAGTCTGTGCCTGTACTCAGGGACCTCTTCCTTCACCTTCCCTTGGTGGCATTTTCCTCCTTGCTAAAGTATCTGCAGTATTTGTGCTGCCAGCAGGTCTAGAACTTGTCTCTATGTAACTCTACATATAAATCTATGGAAGTGACTTGCCTCTATGTGCTAAATCTTTACCAGGAGCATAAGATCAGGAACTATCTTAAGTTTAATTAGTTTTAAATAGCTTTCAGTCACTTGTTTCTGCCCAAAATAAAAGCCAGCCCATTTTACAGGTGGAAAACAAATCCCACAGACTCACAGGAAGGTTGAGGCTGGAAGGCACCTGTGCAGCTTGTCTGGTCCAATGCCCAGCGCAAGCAAGGTCAAGAAAAGCAGGCTGTCTTGTCAGGTTTTGAATGTCAAGTTTCTCGTACTGGGAAGCCACACACAGGGCACTCCAGATATGCCAGGTGGAAAGGAAGGATCATCTCCTGCTGGCATTGACCTGCTGCCCACGCTCTTTCCAGAGACAGCCTTGGAAGCTGTTGGCCTTCTGTGCTGTTGACTCATGTTCAACTTGCTGTCAACCAGGAGGCCCAGGTCCTTCTGTGCAAAGCTGCTTCCCAGTCTCTGGGCCACCAATAGTCCATGGGCAGGGCTGTGCATCTCCCCTTGCTCACCTTCCTTAGGCTCCTGTTAGCCTGTTCCTCCAGCCTCTCAAGGTCTCTCAACAACAACATCATCACTGGTGTTATCAACCACTCGTCAAATTTCCTATTGTCTTCAAACCTGCTGAATGTGCACCCTGCTACATCTCTGATCTCATTTCATCAAGGTATTAGCCAGTACTCATCTCATGCAACTCCTCTGACATATATCCTGAACTTCTCCATCTTGTAGTTACTGCAGCCAAGGATGCCACTGATCTTCATACTACCCACAATTTTTCAGTTATCAGGTCCAGCAGATCAATGTTGTTTGTTCCTTGATCACCAGCAGGACAACCAGTAAGTGTTCTGTGATGATCAGCAAGATGAAGGCTCATTACTGATGTACCTCAACCACCATGGTGGTCAGGCCGACCAGCTCTTCCACTATGGAAAAGAAGCACACCTTCTCCCAGCTGTGCTTTAGAAATACTTGTTCCTGGAAATACAGCTGTGGAAAGCAGCTGCCACTGTCCAGTTTTCAATCACCATTCTGACTGGCAGTTGTGTGTGAGGATGTCACAGAGCACAGAAAATGTTGGCTGGGAAGCTTCATTGCAACTAGGGGTAAGAAACTCTCAAATGAACTGTCCCAGTTCTAGCACAGCCACAGCAAGCAGGTCAAGAGTGGAGTAGAAAAGCTCTCCTTCTCCATTGCCAGAGTATACCCAAACCAGAGCAGTGATAAACCCAGGACGGTGCCTGGAGCAGATGAAGTAGAGCTCAAGAGAATTCCTAGAAAATGAACTGACCTCCACAGAAAGCAGGACAAGAAGCTCCCCTTAGTTCTCTCCAAGTACCCTGATTCTCAGTGCTGCGGCTGCTTCTCATCTGTTTTTGCTGAAAGGCAGTCATGGCAGAAGCACACACAGCTCCCTCTCCTTCTGCTCCCTGCCCTGGCCAAAAATTTCTCAACACTGTTAAATCCTCTCATCTGTCTATTCCAGCCTCCTCCCAGACACATCTGTTGATCTTTTCCTTCCAGCATGCCCCTGTCATTTCCTTTCTCCATCCTGATGTACACTCTAAGGGGGTCTCAGCTCTGAAACAACTACATCATTCTCAGAGAACAAGTAAGACAGCATTTCATGGGACGAGGAGATGAGAGAAAGAAGTCTTAAGACCGTTTCAGAAGCCCAGAGTTCCCAAAAATCCAGCTCTGGATTCATCATCCTGTTATCTCTTGAAGGGTCACTTGATATCAATATTGTTAAACAACAAATTCCCTTTAATTTGCCAATGGTAGGGAATCCCATAGCATAGAGCAGAACACGTTCATTTCCTTTTGAAAGGGTGGGCAAGGATTTTCTCTGAAAATATTAAGGTGTAAAACAACCAATGTGGTTCTCTCCTCTCTCAGCACTCGACCTGGAGCTGTGTGGAGGAGTCTGGAAAGTACCTTGTATCTCCCACATTGTTTTTGTTGGTTCTTGAACATAAACATGGGCTCCAACAAGAGACCTTTCTGTATCTTATTTTATTCAGTTTATTGTTACAATGGTTTGTTCCTATGTTCCCCTATGTTTTCCCCAGTTGATTTGTCCCCAGGTTGTATCCACCCCTAAAACTACCTTGTTTGGCATTCCCCACCCCTTGTCCATCACTGTAATGCCGCCCCTTGTTCCAGCACCTTCCTTGTCCATCATTGTAACCCCGCCCCTTGTTCCAGCACCTTCCTTGTCAGTCTTACCCAGAGCCAATCCCTAATTGTTCCACCCCTTTGGAAATCCCCTATTACTCGGTGCCCCATTGGCCCATGTGACCTTTTCTCCTCCCCCTGGTTCCCTCATTAGCTGTAACCCTGTAAGACCCTGCCCTCCACTCCTTCCCTAAGGAACCTTTATTGGTCAATTGTTTGTACTCACGCCCTGGTCTGCCCCCGGACTTAATCCCAAGCACACCAGTGGTCGGGGTTCTGTGTTTCTGACTCTTCTAGCTGGAATAAGCTCTCTGGAACCTCAGAAGCAGAGAGCCTCTCTTGCCTCCTTTACCCGATCCTCGATGTGGACCACACTGAAGAGCTGCTAGCTCTTTAAGATTCTGCTTCCAGGAAATTTCACCCTGGGGCAGTTCCCCAGACTTGGCACGGCACCGGTGTGCCTCCAAAGAGCTAGCCTGGGCTCCGGTAGGCTGTGGCAGTCTCTAATCTCCCAGTTCTCCACATTTCTTGCCCGAACAGTTTTCCCCGCAGTGTCCATCTTTTTGGAGCAAGATTCAGATGGAGAACTAACAGCCTAGCTTGATGCTTTGCTATGGAAAAAAGGTCAGGCAATGGGATACAGCATCTTAATTTCCTGTTCAACCCACTCCCCCAAGACCAAGTAACAAGAAAAACTTGCACTCAAGAGTATCCCAGGCAC